ACTTTTCGGTCAGCCTAGAGAGGCTTTGAAATTACTACTCTCTGCTCCAACGTTGTTTGCTAATCGACGTAGCAAAATCAGCTGACCATTTTTATAATGCGTCTAAGATTTCAGAGAAGAACAAATACCAACCACGCGATGGCTTTATGCTGAATTGGACGCATTACCCGATACTCACGCAGAACAGCAACGCCGAGAAGTGAGCAGATGTGAAATGAATGGCGGCGTGAGCAGCCCCAAGGTCTTCATTCACAGTGGAGACGACCAGGTTAGTGAAGCAATTCACTCTCTTACCAGTATGTTGTCTTCAAAGCTTTTCTTGATCAAATCTGTGGCCATATTTCATGTGGTAAGTGTCGGAAGAAAGCGCGTGCATCCACTGCGTTCAATTTGACCCCGGCTTAATTACTGTCGTCATGAACTCGGGTGTGTAGAATTCGTGTCCAATCAGCTTTCACTCTCCCTCTTTAGTTGATTTGACTCGGACCAACACTTCCTGGCAAGGGCTGAATCTTCAGACTTTCCTTTCCTTTTTCAACTTTGTGGCAACCATACGATTCGTTAGTCTCTGAAGGGGAGCTGCGTCTAGTGGCTCAACGTTTTATGTTCTAAATCTATGTGATCTGCTTGTTCAAGGTGCCGTGCACATCGAAATCAAACGGACAAGCCATTTTCAACCGATCCTCACATTCCGAGCCGGTGGATGTCGTGAGCCATGGTGAATTTACATCGAGGAGCTCCGAGGAGCCATGCGGGAAGAGAGAAAGGCTCCACAGGTAAAAGCTGGCTCAGTAATTGATCGGCACATAGCAGCCTAATGAACGCAAGGTTGAAAGAAAAAAGTGTTGCAAAAATAAAACACTGAGTGCGTCACGTGTAGTAGGTTAGGATCAGTTGAATCCTATTAGAGAGGAACAAATTTTGGCGCGCACGCAGAAAAAATGACGTACGGCATAATTGGACCCCCGTACCGAAATAGGGGCTCCACCCATAGTCCTAGCACCGCCTCCTGTAGTACAGGTTCGCCTCTTAAATTAAATACACGAATGCTACTTTCGTAGCATCTCGAAATATCATAGAATAGAAGAGGGTCAGATCACAATTCATGATATCGAAAGCGTTTCACGTATACACGAGCCTATTTCTTTCCGATCATACTTCTTCCATAGCCCTCGAAATGAGAGCAGTAGAATGCCATGAAGCTTTATGATTTCCTCTACGCCTTTGTCCTTAGCGGGTCGGAATCGGCTATGTTACCCTTAGTTTAGGTGAGTTCAATAGATGAAGTTCACTTTTGAGCCCACTTTTTGAAAGACCATAAATTGCTTATAACAAAGATCGGATTGATTCGAGACGGATGTGCTGCTAATAATCACTCCAGGAAGCTTCTCTGTGAGGCAGTCTTGACTGTTCGAAAACATTGAGCCCCATCCTGAAGCAGGCGTGATGCATTTAGCTACATGAACATTTCGAGCACGGCTAGGAGATGAACTAATTGCCATGTGATTGGATGATGTGATAAGTCCAAGTTAAATTGCAAGTAAGTAGAGAGGATTGTGCATACCTTCCAGAGCGTTCTTTTACTAGTGGAGGATAAAAGTAGGCTTCGCGGTTCTCTCTGTTCAAGGCAGTCAATTGACTGTTAGTAAAACTTAATTCGTAGCGCATGCCTGAATAGTCGTGATGCATTTGGCTTCTCGTGAATTTTCTGGTTACTTATATTAAGCAGAACATATACAGGGGTGGCCAAAAAAAAGAGACACTTCACTCAACATTCAAAACGGAATTATTTACGCGTCGCGAAACCAAACCAAATGACCCCAACTGAATATTGAAGAGCACGTTATAATCTATCAACAAGCTACACAACAGCCTTCTACACCGACGACATCAGAAGATTTTCCCACGGAAGCATTGTGCGCGGTACGATCTCAACGAGGTCGTTGAGATACCATAGACGATTACGACGTCTCTGAAACGCAGGTCAAAAGCGGTTTTGCACATTCACAGCTAATGTCTCTGGGAAGCTATTCAACAATTAATTCACTGAGGAAATTGTGTAGCAGCTTCAGGTCGGAGCGATTTCGGTAAGCCTCGTTGAGCTCGACGGTGACGGCAGATGACGTCATATTCTGGAGACGGCAGGGGCAGTGAAGGAGTGCTTGCTTCTGTTTACGGAGGAAACTAAGGAATATAACGCCATAAAACTTTCATTAACATCGGCTCCCTGTGTGACGAAAAGTTCGATGATGTGCGCCATGGGCTGAGTGTCTCTTTTTTTTGGCCACCCCTGTATATATGGGGACGCACTAAGTTAACTTGTATATATGTATGAAGATTGTTCTTTAGATACAAGCGTTTTGTCACTACTAAATGGAGATGAACGGTGGAAGTCGTTCTGCTTCATTGATTGTTCGTCCCGTTATGTGTGTTTTTATTTTTTGCTCTCATAACAATTGCAGCAATCTAAACTGGCAAGTCGCAGTTCTTAGATCTTGGCGAGTGGTTAGGAAGAATCGATTGTTGCTATTTTCAAAGCTTAACAGCATAAAGGGATTTGGTAGAGAAAGTACTGCATGACCAACCCCTCTCCGGGCGCGCCATACCTTCAGTTCTCCTTCGGAATCGTGTCGGTATTTGGTTGCGTAGTTTGTCTACACAATGAAGGGCGCTGTCAGGGGATGTGCTGGTCACTGCTTCATCCTCATATGAATTTGGTACTTTTTGGAATAACTTCTATTGCAACGTGTGAAATTGTTTTATTTTTGCGCTGTGCTGGCTACACTATGGCATAATGGACAACAGACAGACTTTGTAGGAAAACTTGGGTAGACCTTATAATATATTAAATGTCTTCTGGAAATCTAATGGTTAGCATCGTCAGCTAGCTTGAGGCAGTGAGGTCTTGCTTATCAAGAGCATAATTGTTGCATAACTTTGCCATAATGTTCAATACGATGTGTTGGAATTGGATGTGATGCACACTGACATTAGAGGCAGGCTCGACTTCTCTCAAGCACTCTGATAACCTAATCATGAGATTAGGTATAGGCTATAGTGCATTCCACTAAACTTATCCTGGGGTGGTTATTTACGTGTCAGACTATTCAAAGAGAATAATTTTGTTTTGTAAAAAGTACCGGCCCAAAACTTGTTGAGATTTGGTGGTAGGTGCTATCGCAAGATACGGGGGCGATGTTGTGACAACGCCCCTGCACCCATACAAAACATCTCATTCTTGCTAGAAATAAAACTAAGAATTAGGCGGGGAGATGGATCGGGATGTCTGGATTTTCGTTCGCACCCTAGTTTCATGATCCGTCTAGGCTTAGCTTAGAGGAGCCCCATAATCTTGCGATAGCGTCTGGGGAACATGTTTATTTATGAGCTGTGTCGCAAGCGATTGGCACTATGATTCTGGATGGAAGTACGACAAGTGGCGCATCCTAAGAACAGATTAATTATGTTGAATGATCCCTTTATGGTCTTTTAGATGAGCCCTGGTTGAGCCATTAAGAAATCCGCTTATAACAGGTTCTGTGACGGAAGGTGCACCACGCAATCGTTTGCCATTGGAAAACAAAGTATCTGAACCCTCATGACAATCAGCAGTCGATACGGTAGAGAGGTTCCCCGCTCCGATCTATCCCCACCCTCTGATAGTATTGAGTCACTTGCTGAGCGCAATGAACCATCCCGTCGGTAGGCTGCCATCTCGCCCTGCTTTGCAGGTTTGTAAAGGCCCGTGAACCCTAATGCCAAACTCTATTGTCGAGGGAAGTATTCAGCAAAAGGATGATTCATAGTCAGTCGTGAAAAGAGGCTTTTCAGCGATTCCATCGCAGACCGAAACGAACACGATGCTGTTGCTGGCGAGAGGAGGTGCTCAACGCCACCGCTGATGACGTCGACACCGTACACGACCCTGGAGAGAAAAGACAGGTCTGTCCACTCCACCTGACACTGTCCGCCCTTTGCAATTAGGATGCGATTCACACCATCTGCCTTTGTTTCACATCTCTTTTCCTTCTTATTTTTTATCGGATACTCATGAATCGATGGCAAATTGGCAGGAATCTTTGCAGAAACCAAATGGAAATGCTCAGTGATGGCCGTGAATTGAGGCAATCGCAATCGGTGCCGTCTATCCTCTGCGGCGTCGCCATCGCCACTGACGGCTCGTCCATCTCTGAGGTGACTACTTTACCATTCTGTGTATTCCACATATATTTTCCTTGTCGTTTAATCGATTTCGGTTCCACGTCCTAATCTGTGAGTATCAACTGATCACCATCGATTACGCTTCCAAAAGGTGATTGATAGATCTTCCACCCAAATCGTTGCAATTGATCAAAAGGTTTTGCTATTTCACGAATAACAATGACGAGTGCATTCCACCCGAAGAGCGAGCGATCTCCACCTTTCGGGGCTGATTGTTGCAAAACGCTAAACGATTGTTATGCCCGGCATCGCGTGTTTATCTCCTCTCAGTGCCACAAAAACAACATACATAGTTGTCCAGCCACACCCAAACTGCGAAAAATCGCTCAGTTCGCCTACCCCACTTTTGTGCTTTGGAAAAAATGGCTGCAACAGGGCGACCTGTAATCGCAGGTTAGGTTGGGCTCAGGGGTCAGATGTGGCTAAAGGAATCTTCCACGGAAAAAGCTCCGCCTCCATTACCACAGAAAAACGATACCTTAGGCCCCTAGCCTCATGAGCATAGCAAAAAGAACGGAACATAAGCGTTAGTTTCGATAATACTAATCCTACACACAAGACAAAATGATCACTCTTTCCGTGGAAGATTCCTTTAAGGTATCGTTTTCTGTGGTAATGAAGGCGGAGCTTTTTCCGTGGAAGATTCCTTAATTCTGTAAATTAACATTTCGACTTGGAGTGTGTTGTTTAGTGTTGAGATGATATAACAGCGCGGTGTGAAGAAAAAATCATTGGAAGGGACCTAAAACACTCTCAAATTTGGAACTAATATTGATTTTATTTTTGTGTTTTGGGACTGACGGGATCCCAAGATGTTGTTTACATAATCACGTCGGTCCCAAACCTTGTCTTTTTTGCTGCAAGGGTCATAGCGTAGACGGAAGAGGAGCCAGCGGCAGACGTGGCACGTGAAAAGTGGGGGAATGGGGGGAGCAAGGAATCTTGAAGATGAGCGGAAAATGCAGCGAGTCTCGAAGATGAGCGGAAAGTGCTTGGGGACTTACTCTCAATCGTGTGGGGGAGAAGGAACCACTCCTTCTTCAGGTGTTTATTGTTGAAATATGTTTTTACTCTCTATTGTTGAGTTCTCCCACCCCAGAGCCCCTCCCTCCCCAAGTGTAGTCCGCTAGGCATCTAGCTTTGCTTTATTGAAATATATAAATTCCCTTATTGAGCAGAGGTGATATCGTAACCACTGCTACAGCCAATTCTATTTACCTCTCCCAAGAATAGTAAAACCGTGAGATAGTCAGTTTCCGAGTGCTTGCAGCCTGCACTTCCCTACCAGCCTTCCCGTTCCATCAATTGTTGGAACCACCCCTTTTATAGACAGAGGTTCAAGCCCGTTTCCTTGGTCAATAGTATCACCTGTATCACCTGTCGTCCCGTTGATCATCGAATTGCTCGAGCGGGCGCCAGCAACGTCTCCATTCGTCCCTGTCGCGTGCAAGAGTTGTCCAGTGGACCCTCCTCGCTCGAGGGACACGATGTCCTTCATTCCTTTCGTTCAGAGCTTTCGTGAAGAAGTCTGACCATCGGGCCGGCGGTCGTCCAGGTGTTCGTTTGACGTCCCGAGGGATCCAGTCGGTAACCGCTCTGGTCCAACGGTCATCGCAAAATCGCATGACGTGTCCGGCCCACCTTATCTTCGATTCCTTGGCGAAAACGGCAGCGTCCCTGATCTTCGATCGTTGGCGTAGTTCGGAACTCCGGATTCCCCTCTGCACTTGCGTGTATAGGGTTACTCCTAGCATCGTCCTCTCGACAGCGCGTTGGATAACGCTGACCGCATGCTCGTCCTGCCTGCGCAGAGTCCAAGTCTCTGAGGCGTAGGTTAGGGCAGGAAGGACAGCGGAATCGAAGAGGTGGGCACGGAGCCGGATGTTCTTCGTCTTCTTCACTACTCCCTCGATGTTCTTATACGCTCCCCAAGCCGCTCGTTTCCTCCTGCTCAGCTCTGGAGCTAGATCGTTCATCATATTGATTTCCCGACCTAGGTACACGTAGCTGGAGCATTCGGTGATGTTCGTTCCGTTGAGCGTGAATGGGGCATCAGGAACCAATCCGTTTCTCATAAACATCGTCTTCGTTAGGTTCAGCTGTAGACCAACCTTACCACAGGCGCAGTCGAAATCAGCCAGCATTCGCTCCGCTTGCTCGATGTTCGGCGTTATAAGAACGATGTCGTCAGCAAAACGAAGGTGGTGTAGTTGCCGGCCGTCGACCTTCACTCCCATGTCTTCCCATTCCAGTTGACGCATGACGTTCTCGAGAGCGGCGCTGAAGAGTTTGGGCGAGATGGTGTCGCCCTGTCGAACCCCTCTCTTGACGTCGATGATGACCTCCTTGTAGAATGGTGAGATTCTGGTCGTAAAGTTGCTGTAGAGCTCACGAAGAATCTTGATGTACTGAGTAGGGACGCCCTGGTTGCCCAAGGCTTCGATGACCGCTTCTGTCTCCACAGAGTCGAAGGCCTTCTTCAAGTCGATGAACGTGAGACAAAGCGGCATCTTGTACTCTCGTGAAACTTCAATGAGTCTTGTAACCGTGTGGATATGGTCGATCGTGCTGAACCCTCTTCGGAACCCTGCTTGCTCGCATGGCTGTCCTTCATCTAGTATTCTGCCGATCCTGTTAAGGATGACTCGAGTGAATAGCTTGTAGATTACAGACAGCAGGCAGATTGGGCGATAGTTGCCAATGTCGTCCAAGTCTCCCTTCTTGTACAGCAACACGGTCCTGCTGGTTTTCCACGGAGTGGGTACCTTGCATTCCGACAGGTAGCGCGTGAAGAGTCGAGCCAGAGTTTTGATGATAACTGGCGGCGCATTCTTCAGATGTTCCGGTTTGACCCTGTCGAGACCGGGTGCTGTACGATTCTTCACCGACTTGATGGCGTGTCGGACTTCGGAAGAGAGAACTGAGGGGACGACGTATCCATCCTGTTGCAGTTGATAAGTGGGCAGATGGACATGGCTATCGAAGAGATCCGAGTAGAAGTCGTGGATGACTTTCTCCATTGCCCTTCGGGATGCAGTAACTGTTCCATCCGGACGTCGGAGGCAGGTCATCTTGGTCTTGTAGCTGGCAAAGCTTCGGCGGGCATTGCGGATGCTCCTCCCAGCCTCTGCTGCTTCAGCTAATACTGCTGCTCTTCGCTCCTTGAGATCTTCCTTTATCGCCTCTCTGCATAGCTTCGCAAGCTCGGACGTGAGTCGGTGATTGCCTGCAGCTCGTGCGGCTCCACGCTGGCGTATCAGTTCGAGAGTTTCCGGAGACAGACGTCCCTTGGTGACTTTCAAACTCTCTGCCTTCTTGCCACAATCGTGAAGATGTTCAACGAGCCGATAGTACTCCTCGTCGATGTTTTCGATGACGGAATCCTCCCATAAGCTGACGGGAAGCGAAGTGATCCCAGTTGATGACTGTCCTGGGGCTTCGCTTCCTGAACTTTGCTGCTCTCTCAACACGCATCGAAAAGTGGAATCTTGCGCGGAGGAGACGATGGTCCGATCCCGTGTAGAACTTCGGAACAACAGCGACGTCGGTCAGGCAAAACCTTCGATTGAAGATGATGTGGTCTATCTCGTTATGGAACTGTCCATCAGGTGACTCCCAAGTCCAACGAAGGTGAGGGGGCTTTTGGAACTGTGAGTTACCATGGATGGTGTTGGTCGACATGATAAACTCCGACAGTCTCTCACCCTGCTCATTCCATTCCATTCCGTGAGTACCGATGTGAAGTTCTTCAGCCGTTCTTCTTGGGCCAATCTTAGCGTTGAAGTCGCCGACGATGACCTTGAAGAAGGTATGATCTTCCCTGTAGAACTTCTCCAATTCCATATAGAATGCTTCGTGTTCTTCCTCGTCGTAGCTGGATGTTGGTGCGTAGGCGACGAAGATTGTCAAAGCAGGAGTTGAACCACATCTTCTCAATCTCAAACGTCCGATTCGGGTCGTAAGGCTTTCGTACGAATCGATGTTTATGGCCAAGTGCGTGTTGACGAGGACACCCACACCGCCAACGCCTCTGCTGTCGCATGTTCCAAGGAACAGTTCTTCTCCAGTATCGAAAACGGCGTGTAGCGGGCGGTGCCTTCTCGTCTCGGTCAGTCCGATGACGTCGTACTTGATCTTCCTGGCCTGCATCATCAGATCTTCGATGTGAGCTTCGGATGCAAGCGTTCGTGCGTTGAAAGTACAGATCGCCATCTTAGTCCTTCTTCGTTTAGGCAGCCTATCCGGGCCCTGAGATTCTAGCAGCCTCTCCCGAGCGGTCCTACCCAACGCTGCCGTATTGGGGGCTCCCTCAGGTTCAGGGGAATGAGGCCCATCCATATTGCTGTTTTCGGCATATTGAAGGCACACGAGTAGCTTGCCAGGCTCTGTCGTGTGGGCTAGGATAGACCTCCAGGTAGTTAGCCACGCTATCCTGGAGCGGAACAAGGGGCTTATTTTTGGAGGCGGCCCCGAATCGCCTCCCATGTACTTCCCAGTCACTTGAATGCAAGCTTTTGGCTGTGCCGACATGCAGGATACCAACCGCACACACACAGAGCGCACCACACACGCAAGCATGCATGGATGCGCCTGAGTGGAGACAGCTGGTATGAATCAACACAGCACTACAGAAACAGGGAGTCCATCCCCTGAATCCACCTGCGTCTCAGGGCAAGTACATGGTGGCTTTTGGTCCGCGATTTACCCCCTATCCGCCACCTGGGGTCGCGCCACGTAGCCTCGCCACCAACCGGCTCGAGATCTTTCAGTGAGAGAGGACCCTCAGTGAAAGAGATCCGTGGGGATTCATAGGACACTAACATTTTGCAACTTTGTGGGTACAAATCGTTCCTTCTCGACCCCTTCGATCCCTTATTGCCTTCCAGATGTTCTGCTCTTTTCTGCCCGAACCCGTTTCAGTCATGGAGAACTACCCTCATTACCTATGTGATTAACGGCCATTACACCCCAATGGTATACTTTAT